TAATATTGATCTAAATGGTAATATTTAGAATAAACACAATTCGCCGACATAATTACCACCCCCCCAAAAAAACAACTGTGATCAGGTGAATTCATTCTGAAAGATTCACGAAACAAAGGACTTTTTCTATTGCATAAAGGTACGATCAGGCGTTTATATTACGCTAGATTTTTTCGTTGACGCCATATTATCCTTTGTTTTAAACAAAGAAGAGTGAACATTTGATCGTCTTCTGTGTACACATTCAATAGTATTACTTCTTCAAAGGAATATAGAGTAAAACAATATTTACGAATAATGATGGTTTTGTAAATACTGTCGTCAAAGAATCAGTTAATAAACAGTTGAATACAATGAAGGATTGTGATATGTAGACGCTATCAATTTTATGAGGAAGAACTGCTATTTCTATCTTTTTATGCAGACAAAATAGAATTCTCTACCTGTTTAGATTTTAGATGTCGGTAATGCACTACTTTAGCGCAATCTTACTACAGAACATTCATAAGTTAATTACAGCAAATAGTACAAATCATCTTCAAGTTAATACAGTTACTAAGATATCGTAACTCTGAATCATAATCCAGCGTTTCTGAGTGACAGATGTTTGAGAAAAACAGTGTTTTATATTTACCGATTGGAAACCTCAAATTCTTGGATATGTCATTTTGGAAGTCAAAATGCATTAGGCGATGATCCCTGATGTTTGGAAATAGCTATGGTTAAAAAAAATGGCATTCATTTTAAGTCACTATTGTGGTTGGACGTTAATGTTACATTTTAGACAAATTAATAAACTATGTACTTTTGAGCTGTTCTCTAAAATAGAATGAATATGTTTCTCAGGTTGAGTTTCTTCAAATTTCACTTTGAATTATGACATTGAATATTTATCTGACGGGATAAATTGTTTATTCCGTTATTGAATGTATCGTTTGCTTTTAAGTAAACTCAACCTATAATTAAATTTCAGTTTTTATTGGTCTAGGACGTTTGACTATGTTTTAGTATTGTTGGAGGAACCGTTACTAGAAAGGGATAAGAATACACTAAAGTTTATTTATTCGTGATAAGTTGTAAGGAAAATAGTTCACTGTTAAGTAGTCGGTAGTAGTCGACAGAACATCCCAATCGGCCCTGTTTTTGTGCTAGTTGGCACTCATCACAGGAGGATATACCTATAATCTTGAGGGAACTGATATTTCTTAGTGAATTCAGATCCAGGTAATCCAATTTCACAGTCTGTGATGTCTAAGATTGACGGAATTTGATTAGCGTTCAGAGCTAGATAAACACAATATTCCTCACTACTGATTCTAGTTTAATGTAGATGGAAAGCAGTCACATTTTTGACAAAATCGTTAAGACAATATTTCAGCCGAAATGGATTCTTATTTCAGCTAAACAGACATACAATATACACAATTCAGATGAAAAAGCAGCCAAAAAGTTTTTATTCGCTGTGTAAACATACGAAATTATGGCGAAAAAAAAATTCTAGCCATTAAATTTTTAAGAGAAATTTTCCTTTGATAGTTTTAAATAAAGTTTTTGAATGGTGGAGATTTGTTGCTCAGGTGGATGATTTGGGTGGAGTTTTGCTCTTTGGGCTGGTTGGTTTGATCGTGGAGCTTTGATCGTTGAGACTCGAAGCCTCATTGTCTATCATATAAGTGAACACATGAAGAGAGAGAGTCAGTCATAATCTTTACTTTAGAGTTGTATGATTTAATTAGAGTCAACTTCCCAGTAGTTAATGTGGTAAAAAAGGCAATTACAATCGATGAAGAATTACTATAACTCTTAAATTTCATAGTCTGCATCACAGACTGATCTTAGTTAAATAACCATTGAAAGCCAGAAACAATCGGACACCTGGTTAGTCCTAGTAATTAGCTCTTCAGCAGTGTATTATATCCATGACTTCATTAAGGATTTAACTCCATACCTTCAGGTCTCTCGGTGAACACTTAACTTTTAGATCACCGAGCCGAAATCAAATGGTTGAAATATCTAATTGTATCTGTCAACTTGTTTGTTGTCAATTGTAACAAACAAAAGACTATTATAAGCAATGATGGATGGTGGCTAGCAATGGAATCCAAGACGTGAGTTTTGTCCTATTTGGGACTCATCAGCCGGATGTACATACATTCCATAGTTGATGTTCACTCCGGAACATATATACCAATAAGAGACTGATCAATTACAATCCTAAACATCAATTGGAAAATGCAAACAAACAATACATAATGAATTAAAAAACTGACTATTATAACATATCTGTATCCATTTTCCAATGAAGCCGTTTCATAGTAATAGTTTATGTTGAAATATACATGGAGATAAATAGAGTAGAATTTAAATCTTTTGATTATTTGGGTATTCAGTTGAAAAAAAGTTTCTCTCTCTCTCTTTTACATACACACACACACACACACACACATAGACTCAATCTATCTATACAAAAGGTTCAAATATATCACCATATAACAACATGATTAACTGTAAAAGGAATAACTCTGATTGTCTATTGACTGATTTGATTCATTTCTTTATTCTGGACTAGTTTTTCTTTTCTAAATTTATTTAAATATTTAGATCATTGATAAAGTTAGAAAAACACAACAATATGATTATCATCATTGTGTGCGCACAGTTGTAAAAATCAGTATTTCCTGTTTTTGGAACGATTGAAGGAAGTGAAAAAAAAGGATATTTCCATCACTTGTTGTTCTTCAATAAAGAATTATCATTATTATTATTATTATTATTTAGAGAATAATAGTCCAACTTCTACAGAGTCTATTCATTAAATCATGGTAGTAGGAGAACTATGTAAACCTAGAGATCAACAGACAATGAGGATAATGTAAACAAGGAAAAATCAAAAATTTCAGACAGTTTTATTTTATAAATAAGCAGTTTGAGATAGATGTTAGTACTACCATTATTTACGACAAAGAAAGTCTTTTTTTTCATAATTCGCATCACGGACTGATCGTACTTAGGTAACCATTCGGAAGACAACCATTATGTACTTACTAGTGATTAGCCTCGAGAGAAAATTTCCGGAGTTCTAGTGAGAAGCTGTGGTTGGTGGAGCTAAACTGTGTCGAGTGTGAGGAAGGTATCCACCGAAGACTATGAAATATGGTAGAGATATATCGTGGGTTGATTGAAGTTAGACTTGTAAATGATTGAATTTGTCTCGACGGTCTAGATATTATGTATTTGTCACAGGAAAGGGGTTCCTAGGTTTGATCCGCTGTGGCAGATCGTGGATGTGCACAGCTGTAGAGTCCCATACTGGGACAAGATAGCTGTCGAGTGCTTGCAGATTTTGAATGGTTATCTAACTTTGGTCGATTCATGATCTTTTAGTGACCCGTTGATCTGACTCCAGTTTGAAAGAACGAATGAATATGTCATAAATACAAATGATCCTTTTTATTCTTTATATTACACTGGCCTAACCCTGTTTGAGTGATGGGAATAGTAAGAAGTTCAATATGAGTTGTGTTGGATCAATTTATTTCAGGCACTTTTTTAATCAGACAAACATTAAGAATGAGAAGTGGGAAGGCAAAACAAAGCGAGGCGGAGAAGGCAAACGTGCCAGCTCTCGTTTTGATAAAGCGTGACTCATTATTTATAGCCAGGGGAAATTAAGTTAGAGACGTGATGAATAGGGTAAGCGCCACTCACGTTCATGTTAAAACAGTAAAGGTTAATAAACGAATAATGGACAAAGTCAAAGTGTGAATTAAGGAGAATAAATATTTTGTTTTTCCCGAGGCAAGAATAACCCATGTGGGCTTGACATAGTGCTAGACCCTGCAATCTCAATAAGATCACTGAATAGCTGTCTCACCTTAGTATGGGGCTTATCATCAGCGAGAGTTCATTACTTTTTCAAGGATCAAACCCAGTACTCCTTGGTCTTACTCGCTCAGTATCTGATGTTTTATATTTCTAACTTTAACTAGTCTGTCATGTTACAAAACCATCTTCCAATATCATTGGTGAGTAATTTCTTCATACCTGACATATTTGAACTTCACTGACCACAATGTGTCATTTGAAATATAGTCATTACTGCCGCCAAATTAGTCACATGTGGGCACATTGATTTCTATAGAAAAAATATATATGTTTACGTAACTATACATACTTTCTAGTCCTTTGAGTTTTAGGAACCATTAGAGATTTATATATGGACTTAATGTTATTGTATTTATTCCCAATGATGTCTTCTTGTCATATGTTTTATGATGGATAATAGTGGAATCAAAGGCTCCCGTCTTATCATAATTAGAACTCGTCATTTGGCTCTACCAGCCTCTCAGTGTTGATCGAAGCATAAACTATCTACTTATATCTTTGAACACTAATAGATTATCCATCGGACCACTGAGTTTAGATGATAATTTGTTCCACTGGAATAAATTATTTTGTAAGAATATATCAGTTTCACATATGGTTCAATGGATCATTTGTTATTAATTATTCTATTTTCTGTTAATATTGATTTTTGATAGTCGAAGACAATCGGAAGAAATTTCTGGACTTATGTTCCCAGTTATTTAGGATTCTTTACGTTAAGGTAACTACAATCTTGAGATGGTGTATATTCTCTGTGGAATTCAAACTCGTACCACTCAATATAAAAGCCTAAAGTGTCACTTTCGTCTCGCTTTCGTGATTGATTGATTGATTTAGTTCAGTTAGAACTTGAAATTAATTACTTATATACGTGGGAATGAAAAAATATATACCGATGTATTTGACTTGGTTTTAACCAAGACAGATGTGACAAATGCATTATATGAATTAAACTGAATATATGAAAGTATACTACGAAAAATGATTTCAAATTCCCTCTTGCTGTTTTCAACATTTCTTTGTTCATTCACATCTGATTATAAGTAGTTAGAGTGAAATTGAGATATTTATTTATTATCATCTTGCTAATTTTTATTTGTTTTTCAACTCTGAAGAATCAGTGGATGAACGGCATTTGGCTTTACGAAAATCACAGTCTTCCAAAAGTCTATTTCAACAAATCGCATGGAGAAGTTTAGATAATTCTAGACGACAAAAAAACATGCTAAGTGGAGACTATTCGGAACCACTTTGGGCAATTGTTTTAGATAAGAAAATGGAAAAAAATTATATCCCGGTAAGTAAAATTATATTTAATTTTCTATCAGACCACTTACTATGAGAAACTAAGATTGCAAATTAATGGTTTGACAACTAAAACATTCAAAATGTAGATAAAGCGAGAGGAGAGGAAACATAATCTCCGTCAGATAGTTAACACTTCTTTAGTAGGATATACTGACTTTAGGTAGTAGAAAATAATTGACAAAAATTCTTGAGCTCAGTTTCCACGCTATTCATCAGTACCTTTCAGTAGAGTGCATTTTAAACTTTGTAGTACAGATGCTGACAATTGGATTTCGAAACTGAGTAGTCATCCAGTGTCGTAGTTTAAGATGTTACCATTGATGTACCCGGGGTGCGATTAGTTTCTGTAGGACTAAGGTATTTACGTTAATCGACACTGATTTAAAACTAATTTACTGTTTGCCTAATCCTCGAAGCTGACTTCATTCTACTGACTCCTTTGTGGCACGGATTTAAATCCTACGGCGAAGCGACACTCCGAGGTTTAATGCTGACTTTCTTCAACCATCTATCATCAAATATGGTTCATATAGCTTTAAACCACTTTGTAAATTAATAGGCAAATATTAATTAGTGATGCTCACATGATATTAACTCCTACTTAATGATCATTAGCTGAACATGTATAACACTATTTTTATTCTTATGCAGCTGAATGGTAGTTGGTTTATAACTGTAGTTCTTAGTAGACTCTGCTGTAATTCATCAAACGAACGGCACTCTGAAGTTGGCAATTTAACTTTTATTTTTAAAGCCTGCTGGCATTACAGAACATCATATTGCATATAGAAAATAAAAAGAATACAGACTGGAATAATACCTATGAAATGTGTGATAATAACTTGTTGCCCCGTAATGTTTAGAAAGATAGATATGATTATTCGTATAAGAATGCCGTAATCAAACTAAATAATACTTTGTATTAACAATAAAAACTGTGTTTCTAACCAGGATTATGAAAGTGAGGCTTAAAACGTGACTTTCAAGATGTACAGTTCATTAACACATATTGATTCAATGCACGTATCGTGGCATAAAAAATGACAACTTTAAAATTCAATGGCATTAAAGTATATTTCCAGGTACTCGTAGTAGATTAGAACATTTCGATTAGCATAATTTTCTATGAACAACTGTTAATTCCTAAGTGATTAGAAGTCTGTTTATCATGTAATTAGTGCCAAGATTTGTGTTTATATCATCAGTCTACTCATAAGTAGTTCAAGTCAAGAAATGCAAGAATCTAATCATTATGGGAGTTGTGGAGGTCACTAAGTTTTCAAATGAGATCGTGAACCGATTAATGTTAGACCACCATTTAAAAAAACCGGAAGCAGTGGACGGCCGTTTCGTCCTACTGTAGGAATCCTCGGCAGTGCGCATCCACGATATCGCCCGCGGGTTTCGGAACCACGGCCCTCAGTTTTGCGCGCGATCGCTTAACCTACTGGACAAGTGAGCCGGCGTCCAGTGGTGTTAATGTCTAATCTCAACCAATCCACGAAATTGCACGACCATCTTCCATTGTACTGAGGTAGATACCTATCTCTACCTGACACGGAAAAGCTCCGCTGGCCACGGCTTCTCATTAGAACTCCGAGAATTCCCTCACGAAGCTAGTCACTAGTGAGCAGATGGTAATTATCAGTATAGGGGTTGTGCAGGTCATTACGTTTTTGATTGAAAACATGAACCGACTGAATGCCGGCTTAGTGGTTTGCTAGTTTAAGCGTTAGCGCGCGTGATTGAAGGCCTTGGGTCCGAATCTCCCTAGGCGGGATTGTGGATGCGCACTTCTGAGGAGTCCCACAATAGGAAGAAACGGCCGTCCAGTGCCTCCAGGTTTTCAATGTTTTGTTTTAGAAATTTCTAGGGATTATTAATTGAAAGTAATTAGAAACTATATTGTCAAAGACTGACTTTATTTTAAATTCATGTTTCTGTAGTTCTGTTTTGTATTGTTTATTTATTTTTTTGTTTCACATTGGACTCATTGACAGTTTTAGTTTTTTAATGAATATTCTATCATTCATTTATTTTGTATTTTTGGAAACTTAATCTAACTATGGATAATGTCAGTAGTTGAAGAATGCAAAAATATCTAAACCGTTTTATCCATAATAATCTCTGAATAAATCCTTACATTTCGTTACAAGTAGATGAAGTGATTAATTAGTGTTTTTTATTCTGTGATAATATTAATCATAATGACATTTCAGGGAAGAAAATTTTCTTCTTGACAGTCATACTTCTTAAAACTATAAAACTGTGTCTATAATTTGTTTATATATTGGTTACTTGAAACTACCTATTGATGTTTAACATTTCGATAGATCAATCTCTTTTGGGATGTGAACATTCAGCTGATAAGTTAAGAATAGAACGAAACAAACGTCCTAGATACCATTGTTAACTACTACACATTTTTGCTTAAAATGTTGAGAGGTGCGATAAAGTTGTTTAGTAGAGTGTTTGGGAATACCAAATATCAGCGATAGTTTATTAAAGTTACAATTCAGCAAGGGTTTTACATACAATTAATCTTTGCTTTTGTAGTTTCCAAATTCATCACTTGTAGTTGAACGACAAAAGATATGTTATCTTATTTTTCCAGTTGGATGTATAGTTACGAATTCAGCTATTTTCTTGGATGAATTCGTATTGAGTGTATTACACGACAACCTAGTCAACAAATTAGCCAAATTCTCTCATATACTTTGAAGAGAGTCAGTTATTCTAACGAATATAGAAAAAGTGATAAGTTTCAAATATATAACAGTGTACAGTTTGTTTCATGATGAAACATTTTTGTAAAATATATCAAACTGCTCTAGTATCTCATAATCTGTCTTTTGGTAATTGCTGTATCCAAACATTCTGAGACAGTTTGACACTAGTCAATGAACTCAATACAAAAATACATTTTAAAGTGCAGGTGCATTCACTCTTTGTGTTATCCCAAAACCTAATCTTCTTAATTCTTCATGTCCCTTTTTTTCTCGTTCCAAATTCATTTCACTGTATTATACTTTTTGAATAACATCTTTAAACCCTAATCTTTTCGATTACTGCTTATACTCTTACTACCTCTAGTATTATGGGATTTGAATGGACAGCTGTATCTCTGTGCTAATGTGGTATGGGAACTCGAACTGATGTACGTACTTTCGACGTTCTACGTTGTTACTGACTGACTGATGTTGAATACAAGTGCCACGGGTTTGATCACTGGTTTGGTCATGCGTGAACACTTATGAAGAATTCTATACCAGCATAATACAGTTGTGAAGCGTTCCCAATTTTTTAGTGGCAGTGAGTACCGACTACAAAATTAAATCGATTTCGACAAAATTCTTTCATATAAATCATATTAGTTACCTTACTAGTGAATGACTTTAAAATTCCGCGGCTAATGACATTCAGACATGTTGGGAGTGAAATAGTTGTTCCTAATGCCTTTGTATGACAAATTATTTAAAGTTGGAACTGTACCATTCAACACAGACGCAGTTGTCCTATCGGTCAAGCATTCGCCACAAGATCTGAAAGTTCCGGATTCGGGCCCTGATAGGGTCCAAGTAATCATTGCTGCGGAGTATAGTACTAAGACGAAACATCTGCTAAGAGCTCTCTGATTCATAATGGTTTCACAATTGAAATCAATCTCTGACGAACACCGTCTACTTAACACTATCTAATATTTTAGGACGTCTTATTCAAGAGTCGTGAACCTCAATATATTCACCAAGACACTGTTTAATAATTATAAATACAATTATACAGCTTAAATAAATGAAAATGATCTACACTGCATTGTCTTAATAATAATTAGTGAAGAAAAGAATTACGGTTTAAATTGACTTAACATATTAATGCAGAATATAATTATCGTCGATATATATATATATATATATATTCCTAACTCCAATTTATGGATGTTGGTCAATGCTCTTCCAATAGAATCGGTGTTTAACTGTTTCATCCTTAACATAACTGAACTGTACTGATCACGAATTCTCACTAGCACTGTGGGAATTGTCACTCCAAATTAGTCACTGATAATCTTATAATTACTGTTATTAGTGTAAAGGTTTTGTGGGAATTGATGAAACTCAGCTAACATTACGAGCTGACTTCAGTTCAGCGATTTTTCAACTCAGACCATTTAATGGTATTATTATGTCTTGAGACGTTCATCGATCTCGCCTGTTCAATTCACTAACTAAAATTCTAACTGCAATTTTTTTCTATTTTGCGTCTACTATTTCTTCTATCGCCTGACGTCCTAGACCTGACCGTTTACACTTCTGATCTGAACGGGCCACTTTGAGCCGACTAAAGCTAAGCTCTTGTTAGTCCACCATCCATAAGGTTTTTTCTATTACTTGCTTTGAGTTCAAAGAGAACTCAGAAGTTAGCTTCTCCTAGGCTCAGCTCAATACTGAAACAAAATTCGTATATATTAATACATGGAGTGGAGTCTTAGCCATATATCGACATGAGTAAGAAACTACAATATTGGCATAACTACGCAATAAATGAAAGAGAACTGAGCAGTAGGTTTGTAACAAATTAACAGTAACGTGACAAAAGTACAACATACAATAACAGTTTATACATCATTAACAAGTTTACAAGAAGGACAATACAAGCATACACTCATTTATTTCATTAATAATTGAAGAACAAATATACAAACAATAACTTCAAGCAGGATACGATTCCGGAAGTTCAACTGTTCTAATCCTCGTCCCGTTGTTACAATAATGTAAACTATAAAACTAATCAAATGGTCTTATATCTTTAAAAACACGAAAGGAAATTTCCGGAGTTTTGGTGAGAGGCCGTGACCAGTGGAGTTCGAACGAGTCGCATTTGAGGCATTTATTAAACGAAAATAATGGAAGTTGGTCACACAGTATTTTGAACTGATTAAAGTTGGACATTAACATCGTTAGATGTTGATTCAGTGGTCTAGATGTTAAGCACTCATGTGCAAGATCGAAGGTGCTGGGTTCAACTGTCACGTGCACGATTGTGGATATGCATTGCTTAGGAGTCGCATACTAGGACAAAATGGCCATCCAATGCATCTAGGTTTTTAATGGTAGTCTAACATTGATCAGTTCATAATTTTAAAGAAGGAAATCTGTTATGTATGTGTAATATCGTTCATATGTAACAATTCATATGTCTGACTTAATTTTCAAGTGAAATCGACTTGAACACTAGAAGATGTTACTTTCGATGATTGAGATATGGAACAATCATATTGGTAGAAGTATTCTTCCTAAGATAAAGCACACTAGAAAAACAACACATATGATAGTACTTTTCGTAATCAATGTTAAATGATCACTTTGATCAAACAGGTATGATGATATCAAGGGGATAGTTAATTTTTTCTGAATATTTTTTTTACTCGAAAAAAGTGTTTACTATCATATCTACAATTGATAATCGTATGTAATTTGTATTTGGCTTTAGGCATGATTTTTTTTTCCTTTAAAATAATTAAACAGCTGATTGATAAACCTTTTTTTTTAATATTTTTCAACAGAATTTTAATTTCATTTGATCGACTCATTTATCTCAAAATAAACTTAATGATTGCTTAATGATGCTCTCATTTGTCTGTTTGTCATACGCTCGTTTACTCTTTCTCTATCTCTCTCTCTCTCTCTCTCCATATATATATATATATCTACCTCGAGAGAGAGGTCGAATAGCAGTTGGTATCCCATTCTGATTGGTTAGTTGAGTCTACCAATCATATTTTAGAGTAGCCTATCTTTGCCTATATGAAACGAAAGACAATGCGTTTTAGTTTCAGTTGTCCTTTATTATTATTGTTATTATTATTATTATCGTTACTATTATGAGTACTGTTGTGATCATTCTACACCACATCAATAAATGAAATCATCCATTCAATTATTCGCTGTAAGATACTTTAGTATTGGGATTATGATCTATCACCGTGATGCATGTACGGTGATATATACGCATGCATGTAGGTGATTTTCAATTCCTTTAATACACACAAGCAACATTATTGTATTTAGTGCTTATCTATTAAGTGCTAGAAATCTAATTTTTTTCATATACATTGTCAAAATGAAACTAACTATCAGAATATTTATGGAATTAATTACTTAGCAATAAATAAAAGCAATGTCTAACTATCCTGTTTATCACCCGCTACTGCCTAATCAATCAGAATGGGATCCTGCTAGTGAAGTGGAACGTATTATGTGTGGAACTAGCCAACAAGAGTGCCCTGTGATTACGAGTGGGTTACACACTCTACCTCGTCATTACCAATTACGTGAAACAAATCCAATTACATTTAGATATCAAGCTATGAATGGCGGTGAGTGTAGTACAATAAACAGATATGATAAAAACATTCAACATATCAACAAAATGTATCCATGGGGATCTCCAACAACAAGTATCAGACAATTTACAACAACATTTCATCCGTCTTATCAAACTTCTGTAGGTTATGATCCATCTGTACTATTTTCATCGTCACCTTCCTCGTCAGTTTGCTCTGATGAACAACTGTATTATCGACAACAACGATTAGTAAAGCCTGTAAATCAAGCAAGGTACGTATTGAGTACCAACAAAACATTCTCTACTTCTATCGCTACTAATAGTACTACTACTACTACTGTTGCTTATCCACATAATAGGAATACAGTGAATAATAATATTATGTATGATACATTGCAACTAACTGGACGTGTTAATCAACTCCCTGTTCAACAAACACCAATAAATAATCTAAATACTACAACACGCTTACAATATCCATCAGCTTTAGTACGAACAATTGTTAGAATGGAATCGTCGGGTTCTCAACAACCACAACCACAACAACAATCAGCTGATGTACCACCGGCTTTACCATTAAGAGCTCAACGTTCTACAAATCAAAAGGTAACAGTACCTACTAAACCACGTCAATTAATTCCTATCCCATTTGAAGATCGTGTACATTTGGATCCAAATATGGTATTGTATAAACCTAATGCTGGAATTAATAGTCATAATAATCTTGATGACAACCTATCACAATCAATATCAGTTCAATTAAATCATAAAAGAAATACATTTGATTTAGAAAGTCATTTAGACTGTTCATGTGATTATGTACGAGGTGAAGCTGGCCTGTGGCCAGCTGATGTATGGTTTGAACGTAATTTTCATACGGTTGATAAATGTACGTGTCCACATGAAGAAGTACATCGATTTTTTGATAATGCACCTTCAAAATGGAAATTAGCCGATACTATTGCCATGCTACCAATAAGAGAAACTGATATTTTGGACGATTTAATTGATAGTACAAGCGATGAAGATGAGTCATTGCATCGTTCATTACCATCAGTTATAATGGAGTCACCAACAGACACAACTTATAAAACACAAATTGTAACAACAAATTATAATGATTTAGATGTGACGTCCACACCACCATTCAGCATTCCGATGTCGACTAATTATGTACAGTCGGATATGCAAAAAGATAATTCAACCTATCGTACTAGTGTCACATGTCATCATCTTGTTACAAATAACAGTAGTAGTAATATTTCTTGTGATGAAGATGACTTGGTCCCTCTGGGTGAACTATTGTCGTCAAATACAAACTTACTAAGAACAATTTCAAATTTGGACAGACCAGAATTTTCTATTGATGAGACCACAGTAAGATTGACACCTGCATCATCAAGAAAACAAAGCTTAATCTGTCTTAAGGAGAATCAAGACGAGAGAAATACAAATATCTCTAGGAAAAACAGTTCTCAATTTATGGAGCAAAGAGAATATATTCCTGGTGTAACGAAAGGGATTGTTTCAACTGTTGCAATACCGAGTGTACCTAGTGATACACGTTGTTTAGATGTTGTTACCACTAATGCTATTCGACGTAAATCACCACCTGGAGAAACATCTTCACAGTTGAGGATGACACAGATCACTGGACGTAAAGACAGTATCTATAAAAATCGTGCGAAATCAATATATCATGAGTCTGGAGATAACCATTTGATAGGAAAAAGTTATATTAACACAGAAGGCACACATACAGGGAACGTGTTAATACCAAATAATTTAACCGATGCTGGTCGAAATGATATGGGAAAAAGCATCCAAGATATGATTGGTGAGGATAAAGCGGGACAACAAAAAGAGGAACGAAAACAGTCTCTGTCTCCATCCGTTCACCGATTTCTGGAACCGGATGGTTGTGTCTATACAGAAGATAAAGAGAATGCACTTCAGACATTTCAGATCGATAATGTTGCAGAAGCCCTAGATCGATTACACCAGGATATGAGAAGTGCTATAGAAGGTAAGTTAGTGGATAATTCATCCTCATCTACAGTGAACAAAGAAGGATCATTAACAATTAGCCCTAAAACTGATTCATGCTCAAAGCTGTTAGATAGGCAAAACAAGCATCTATACACTAAATATGACTGGACAGATGAGGATAAGGAATTCAGCCAAAATAAAGAAAATCATTTAATTTCTGACAGTGAATTAATGAGAGAAGACAACCATACAGAACATAATCAAGAAATTGATGTGGATCATTACTTTCTCCAGCCTAGAAGATCCACTTTAAAACTGGATGACAATGATTTATCAGCGATAAGCTATACAGCTTCTCATAAATCCACCGGCAATAGTTATGTTGGTCATGTTCCTTCTGATAATCGGAAGTATAATGACAAATCTCAAAATGTTAGTGATAATGATGAAGAGAACGATGTGGGGGTACATTATTATGAAGATGATCGTAATTCAATGGTGGAGGAAAATGAAGAACTAGATCAAAGTATGGAATATAAATTCAACGATGAATTGACCGATCCTAGTTTATCGCAAAAGTCTGGACAGACTATTAGATTGAATAAATATGGAAGAGCTAAGGAACGATGGAGTCTTCTTCGTACACATGTTGGGAAGGTTGGCAGGCAGGTGAGTGATGTTTGAATAATTACACATTTCATTTAAGCCTATCATGGGAGTAATAATCCATGTTCATCGGATTGTCTGCTATATGACTAATACTTGAGTGACCAAATATATGTTATCTAAAAATCACTTATCAACACTGACTTATGTCAGAGAGAAAATCGTTGAAGTAGGTGGAAGAGAAGCGTTAGCTGATTGTTACATACTGTTCTCGAAATTATTAAATGTATATATTCAAGAAACAGTTACGAAATCAAACTTAAATAGTCAGGTATTATGACAGATACAATCTCATTCGATCAATTCTAGTTGGTTTGGAATGAAGTGGGAAAATTAACTAGTGTTATCATAATAGAGTCTCCATTCACTTCTAACGTAATAATGAAAAACAAAACAAATTGGTTGATGAGTTAGTGAGTATTCATCAACAACGGTTACTGTGACATGTATCATGTACGCTCAACCACTACTTGACTTGCCGTACAATGTTGGGTGGTATATAAATGAGTTATTAGGAAGCTAAAGGTGGCTAAAGCAAGACATAGGATCAGCATATGAGGTTACTGACATTTGAACTGAGCTGTGTTGATAGATGCCGATTATCGTAAAGTATAGTTAAAGACGTTGAATGAAATAGGTCATCTAACCAAAAATTGTCTATAATCTTACAAAAATCTATAATCTATAATTGTAATTATAAGCCCTCTATAAATATGACTATGATTCGCCATATTATTTAGATTCAACTTGATTGAGCAGTTATCATTGTCATTTTCGACTATATCGTCTGTGTTTATTTCATTTAGAATATTTTTTTTTGTGTTATCTCATGAGTACTTCACTGTCATTGTCTGTAGTCGACAGATTACTTGTAACCATTTGACAGTTTCAAAATTATTAAAAACTAACATACAATAGGCATTATTTTACTGGTACTGTTTTCATCAAAGCATACAGCACTGGATCTAGCTATACAAGTTTAATCTCTGACTTTTTTTTTATAATGGCATAATAATAAAATAAAATAAGAACTGAAAAAAAAGAGTAAACTGATTACATTTTTAATACATCGCTTTATATACAAAAAGAAAAACAAAAAAAAAGATCAATCTGAAACAAGATATCAATCTGTCCTTCATTTTATGACCTTAACCTTAAATGCCTACTAGTTTCTTCTTCATTCATCTACAACAGATAAGAACTTATTCTTTAAAAAAACAACAACTATGTTCTGTATATGAAAATAAATAGGTTTTCTTTTTTTCGAAAGAAAAGTATTTACATTTTAATGAAAACTAAACGGTCTCATATTTCAAAGATGAAAATTGGAAAAGAAGTTGAGTAGACTTTTTTCAAAATATTATTCCATAATACCCTCTCCCCCCCCGTTTTTTTTCTTATTTGACTAACATTTATATGAGAAGAATTTAGTAAATTATAAGCATATAAGGTAACTTTCGTCATTAAATACATATATATATATATGTACAGATGATCGTTATATGAATAGTCGATCACAATGGCGTCGGTGTATACACTCTCTGTCTTCCCTTAAACACTGAAATTAAAATCGTTTCACATCTTTATTTCTATCAACTAATTCTTTCTTCCTATATTATACTCTTATATGCAATCTTTCTTTTATATATTATCACCATTGAATTAATTACTATGAATTAGGTGTTCATCTTATTGTGGTGATGAGGTACGGCAACTTGGACCGATGCATATATGTGCCTGGTCCTACGTTGTAGCTGACTGACTGATAGTTGGAAAATATAGAAAAACAATCTCTTACTCCAATTTACTTCAACACTATCATCATCATCTTGATAATCGTTGATTTAATTAAATATGGAAAAATATTTTTAGGAAGACAATCTTACTACTATATATACTGCAGAACGGAGGATTAATGGTGAACTAGTCAACTTCTAGTCACTGAGTTACTGATTCAAATTTCACTCAGCCTTTATTTGGAGTAAATAACTGAGAAGTATCACTAGTACTAGTATAGATCAGTGTGACTTCAAGTTTCATACATAAACGTGTACTAGGCACTAGCTATATTATTACATAACAGAGAACTTATGGAAACCAAAAAGTACTAGACAGCTGTTACCTCCTAGTATTGGACATCTACGACCTCACTGAAAATCGAACTCAGGAATACAATTCTGATCGATCTGATGAACAGCGAATAACATTCCAACCATTGGATCAGTGTCCAATAAAGTGCATTTTTAACTACCATCGATTCTCGACTGTGCGTAACAATTTTCTAATCCAATTAATGGATAAATAATGCACTATGAAATTCAGCAACCTTTGCAACATTCTATGATAAAAGTCATCGTTATTATTGTATCTGGAGCAAATCGATAAAATAATTTGTTAGCTGTCATTAGAGTAGAAAATGCCTGTTTTGCAGAAATAAATTCTGAAATATTTTGGTCATCTGCATGTTGCAATCCATCAACGGGGAATTGAACGTACTGACACATTGAGACACTACTGTTATTAATTAAGTACAGTTGATTTCTTTAAGTTTCTCAAATCACAATAACTAAATATCATCTAGCTGTGATCTAGTCGGAGGCAGTTAGTCAGGGGACTGACTGATAGCCTACTGATGAAATGATGGTAATAGTCCTTGTAAGTTCGGTATAGTGTTTCCTAGTCCATAGTACGGCCATAGACACCTCTTATTGAAAGGTGTCACGATAAATTGTCCTACAAAATGTTTCTTAACGGTTAATTACTGGAAGTTGTACAATTTAAAGAAATGAACTGTAAATAGTCAATCTATTCTCTAATTTGTTTAGTTTTTTCAGTAAGTAAAATCTCTGTCTAGGGATTGCTGAATTTCATGGTTTACATTAACGAGAGATTTTAGTCAGACGATCATTGAAAATAAGGGATCGTTGGACAGATGTTTTATGCTAGTAAGGAGCTCTTACCAGTAAAGTCTAATCATATTGAGAGTGAGTTATTTATCCATTAATTAGATCAGCAGATGGTTACGGACTGTCGAAAAATGATCGAAATTAAACATGTGAACCATTGGTGTCGACTTAGTGGTCTAAAAATTAAGCATTAAACGTGCGGCCTGAAGGTCTCGGGTTCGATCCCATCTTCTAAGTTCGTAGATGAGTTTGACTGAGTAACAAATACTAGTATGAAGCACTTCATTGAGTATCTAACTAAGATCAGTTCGTGCTGTAAACTATGAATATAAAACATAAGTATACAAAGAAGTTGATCATAGTTGACAAGAAAGTTTCTTCGTTTAATTTTCTTTAAAAAAGAGAAAAAAAATCCAGTTTTAATTTTGGCTACCGATCAACAGTCCCTTCTTCCTCTTCTTGATAACCATAATCGGCCTGTTTGAGTGTTTATGCTTATTTATGTAAGTTGTGTGGAGAATACATATTTATATATTATTGTGTGACAACGATAGAGTGAAAACAAACCTAATTAGAAAAACTATGAAATATGTATAGTTTTTGTGTCATTCTGTTGACAATTGTAAATTGTTTTACTAAGACAGTAACTGGAGACAAGAAAAGTTCGTACATTTGACGATATGTAGAGCTACTAGTTACTGTTTGTAGCCAAAGTTGGAACTGTCATATTAGTAGTAGTAGTTTCGTATGGAAATTTATGTTCCTTAGATAGTACGTATCATGCAACTACCTCATTATAGGTTAAGATTTTAATACAAGAGAAATAGAGTTGTGAAAGTTAGTCAGTTCATAATATAGTTTGCATGGTTTTTAAAAATATTTATGAGAACAACAAGGTATCGTTGAACTTAGTTTTTATCACAAACTAATACCAGCTGGATAACCACTGATAAAAACAATCTCAGTGATCAGAGTTTTTGTCAGAAATGGAGATTCCACAGCAGTACCGATAGAGTATCGAAATTTGAACCTTCAATTCTTGTAGTTAGCTCAGTAGAATCAACTTTGAGATAGATTAACTTCTCAAATCCTTCATCTTAATAATTATTATGTATTGACTAGTAACTAGTTTTCCGAAGAACCCATGAAGTTATTGTTGGAAACCGTGAACAACGATAAAGTTCAAACTTGCTGAGAATGAGGTAAATTGAATAATGTTACGGAATATCATGAACTGACTGATTCTATGAGTGCGGCCCAATTGATTTTCTAATCACTGGTTTAATAACATCATCCTGATTGCAAGACCAGAAGATCTCATGTTTTATCCAGTGTGAGCTTTATACATTAGTATTGATGAATATTTCTTATTTTGGATAAACCATCAATCCAGTACTTCTTTGGTTTTGGTAGTAGTCGTAATACTGCAGTTGATGTGAGCGAGCAATGAAAGCGAATGTCAGGATAAACAATCCGTGAAAAATCTTGATCTTATTAAGGTATCGATTAGTTTAGTCACGTTTAAAATATTTCACAATTTAAACATATTATTTCATGTCTCTTACAACATTGCAATAGAAACAAAATTATTACAGTTCATATAACGGATCGATTATCTCAGTTAGACAACCATTGAAAACCAGGAAACAAACTACATCCGCTTCATCTTTATTTTAGCCTCTTCAGCAGTGAGCATTCAACACTTTCACTGCAGAACAAGTCGAGTTTAAAAGCTTCAGATCTCGTGATTAGCACATAACCTTTAAACCATTGAGCTGAGATCCAATGATGCATCCTTCTTCAATGCCATTGGTGGATAACCGCTTCAAACCTGGTCATAACTTGTTACCAGGACTCCATGAACTATTTCTTGAAATTAGGCGCGAGTGAGCACATGATTGTAAATCAATTTATGAATAACCATTATTTACTAAAGGTCATCTCTATCTTTTTTCTATCCATGTTCATATCTAAAATGCTCGGTCACGTCTAGATAAGGACTTCTTGGACAGATGTTTCAAGTCTTCGTGTAAACAGTAACTAACAACATTTAAAACAGGACAAAATATATCTTTTAAGTACTAACTATTGATCATT